AAGGAGAGAGGTCGTCAGCTTTGGAAATTTTGGACAACTTTCGATCAGATCACAATTTTTGGAATAACTAACCAATTCTGTTCAATAGAACTATTTTGGAAAAATTGCCATTGAAGAAATAAGCACAGCTCAAAGTGGGGAGAAAACTATATTTTTTTAATTTTATGTTCTGCTGTATCTATTATCTCTCTCACCAGGACATGCTTAGTTTGAGATACACAGACTACACACAACCCTTGCAGACTGTGCATGTCACTGCCATTTAAACATAAAGCTCTTGCTCCTCCTGTTCAAAATAGCTTTGCCTCTGAGGTACTGCAACACATAAAGTATTTTTCTTTAAAAAGCCTAAGAAGTCCCCTCATCAGATCCCTCCTTTGCAAAGTAGTATTTTGAACAAAGTTACAACATGCCTAAAGAAGGCTTATGTTTAAATCTGAGTAAAGAATCTCTGTATCAATATTTCCTACTTTCCATAATATTTCATGAAAAACCACTTACCAACTCCGCTTATACTACAATGTTTTCATTCTCGATTTCCAGTGTACAAGCTTATCTAAACACCCCAGCACTTTCTAACTGTCCATGTGACATCAACTGTTCAGCATTTGCTCGTAACACTTGACCATACATAGTCTTCTTGGAATTACTCAACAATAGCAGCAAATCTGTCACATAATTAAACAAGTGTTCTTGCATACTTGCATCAGCTGTAACAACACGTACTACAATTTCCTTGTATTTGGGAAAAAAATACCAAAGCCCCAAACCAAAACATATTATCTACGCTTTCTGGAAAGAGCAATCTGTATGATGAATGTTTTCACAACGTATCAGATCTGTGAACATGCCCTTTCATCTGATCCTACGCAACCCTTCACACAGACAGACGATCACGCTTCCCGTTAGCGACCTCAGAACAACCATAAGATCCCATATTTATAGTCACACGCAAAATCTTATTCAAACTTTGCTTTTAGGTCCTTACCACTCAATAACACAGCTTAAAGCATATTATTTACTCTTAGCCCTCAGATTCTAGATCAAAGCAAACACAAATGCTTATGGGATCAACACACGGGACTAAGACTTCATTTCTTCCCATCAGCTTCATCCTGCACACATCACAAGTGCTTGCCCTTAACTTCAGTTTTCAGGGCAATTATGAACACTTCATAGCAACAATCACTATCTTATAATTTAAGAGTCCGTATTTCAGAGATACTATAGCTCTGATCTAACATTCAAAGTCTCACATCTATGCTAACAGGTATTTATAATTCACTTCTGACAGCTTTAGTGTTTTCTTTATCACACTTTCATGTCTGTGCTTTTACATCATCGTCCTTGTGTGGAGCCGTTTTAGTTTCAAAGCAAATTGCATCTCCCAAGCCTCGTATTTACAGAAAACACGAGCAGGTGGGCAGAGTAACTTTGAAGTTCAGGCCTATTGTTGCAAACAAGACCAATAGCCTGATTCCTAATGAACTTTAACCAACTGCCTGAGAAACCAGCATCCTCTAAAAGCTCCAGTCTCTGCCTATAGAGGTGAAAATTGGTTTAGAGCAATTTTGTTCTCAACCTCACCAACCCTGTCAATGTTTCACGCCTCTTTTAGCCCACAGATTATTTAGAATTCTTTTGCCTTCCTATTCATCTTGATGACAAACTAGTTTTGATGTCTGTGTTCAGTTATTCTTTCTTAGCACTTGCATGTTAGTCTGACTCCCCATGAGAAACCACTAAACTAAATGTTTTTACATGGCCAGTTTTGGTTAGTATTTGTGCTTTCACAATGCTAAAGAAAACATTATACAGCTGTACATGAGAATGTACGCAATCCTTGGAAAAATATTCTCTCTGACTTAAGTAAAGGGTGAAAAGAGATTCAAAATACATCGAGAATAGCATTCATGTGTTTTAAGGATATCAAAACTAAATAACAACCTGTATGCCCGTTTTAAATGTAGTTACATCGCAAATGTCTGCAAAATCTCAGTATTATTCATGAAGCAGAATCCTGGCACAGTGGCACAGCAGTAGAGAAAGATGAAGAGGCTTCAGTTTTCACTGAAGGAAAAGGTGCCCATGGCATGAAACCAAGAGTCTGATTTTAATAGGAAAAACAAACAAAAAAAAAATCAAAACAATCCCCCCCCAAAAAAAACAACAACAAAAAACCAAAAAAGCCAACTGATCTCAACTACATAAAATCTACCAAAGCAAGTACGTTATTAAAAAAGCAGACATTTTGTTCAAAACAAGAAGAAACTGAATATACAGTGAAATTTAAGTCTTGCAGTAAGTTGTAGAAGTGATGGTACTCTTTTAGAAATGTGTAATGCTGGGCTCTTAAAGACAAAATTAATGAAATTCACTTGAAAGAACAGACTGCCATGAATGGACAAGTTATGGAGCCAAGATTTCCACACTCAGGTTATACTTAAAATAACAAGCCAAGACATTTTGAGAGATATCAGCTTTTTTGTGACAGCAAAGAGCATTTCATATAAATTCTAAATTTAACCTTAACCTATAGTATTCACAGATTAACCTACAGTATTCTCAGATTACATTGTTTATTCTTCCCCTTCTAACTGTAGCAATTATAACTGCCTTTATATTACGGTATTACATCCCTAATAACCTAATACACAAGGATATTGAGTACTGGTCATGTTTTGCATTTCCATTGCTTCTTAGTCAGGGATAATTTCAATGTTGAAGGCAGACAAAAGTTTCATTTACAACTCTACCCATGTTCATAGCTAACACAGCAGATGTAGTAAAGGCATCTTTTGTGTTAGTCAAACTAAAAGATAATACTATGTTTGCCCAAGGAGTAAATAGGAAGGAAGAATCCCACCGGCCAGCACTCAGTTTGAGCTCCTGGAAGTTGCACATAACACAGTGAAACTTTCTCAGATTTTTATGTTCAGGTAGAACCGCTGGGATCAGCAGCTCCCATGCCATATGCGCCCACCAAAGACTGTATTTTGATGGCTGTTCAAAATATTCCTTCGAGGTAATTTAGGTCCCCCAAGATAAAGTATTTCTTTTCTGCATGACTCAGAATGGATTCACTTTGCCCTCTGTAAAACACAGCACTGGGTTCAAACCGATACATGACACCTCGGAGAATTTGCAGTGCCCCGTTTCCTGCAGGAGTAGAGCAACCCCTTGTCAACCACCACCCCATGACATGGATTTGCCCATCAGTGGCACACAAACAGCTGGTCCCAGCAGCATCTAGTAGACATTTTGCCAGGCAAACCCTCTTCCGTAGGAGAACAGTCTTGTTGGAGGGACAGACATTCAGAGTGATTAGTCATCACTTAAGGGGTTTCCTCAGCAGTTACCCTCAATACACATCTTAAGAGGTTCTGAAATGAAGAACTAAGTTTTAGAAGAGCTCAGGCACTTCCTTCCTTTCCTTAAATTGCTACTGAATAATATGCTTTAGTAATCACAGCAGTACAGGTGGGGGTGAACTTCCCATAATCTCCCACTAGTAGACACTTAGCCCACACTATTTAAGCCATTCCTTGGACTGTTACAAACTGAAAAATGTCATTTCCTCCCATAAAAACATTTTTTGTCCCTAGTGTAATTCAGCCCATAATTGTACTGCAGAGCATCTTCAATTAATGCAGATAAGAGTTCAAAGTTAGTCCAGTTCAACAGGCTAATAAACAAAGTGGTCATTGGACTGCTAGTCAGAACATAGGAGAAGATGAAAAGAAGTTTGCTTTAGCCAAAATCATCCAAGGAGCAATAAATAATCTCACCAGCTCCTTCCATCTCCGATTGCTTCCCTATCATCCTCTCCCATTCACCTAGCACTAACATCCTCCGGTTTTGTTTGCTTTCTTTACAGAGCTCTCCACACAGTAAAGCATCAGGTCTAAAGCTGCAGACTCAGACTTGTCCATCACAAAACACTACAGCTATTCCAACACCTCCAGCAATGGACTGAAGTCTTATTCAATAAAAATGCTACCGTGTTTAAGAGAGAACATAAGTTTAGTAGCCCAGTACAGAAGATTTAAGTTGGTATGCTTGGAGACACTGCCACAGAGCAACAGATGTTCGCTAGAAGCTTACCTTTCAACTGAGGCAATGCCACATATGGATAAAGCTCTGGTTCACAAACGGCTTTTTAGCTTACAGCTCATGATGAATAAGATGTATCAAAGAAATCCCGATGCAATAATACGATATTTCAGAATCCTGTAGGTGTACTCAGACGTATTAAAGACATCCAAAGATGGACAAGACAATACAGAAGTTTAAGTGAAGCATTACAACGTGCAAAAATTGTAACTCGGACAGGCAGTAACTTTAAATAGCTGCTCTTGTAAATAGCCATGACACCCAACCTCAGCACTAGGCTCACATCAGTGCATCACACTGAATCACTCCGTTGGTGGATTTATCCATCAGATACAGTCAGAACTCAGATGTCTCTTAACACATGCTTCAGGGAACTGATAGGAACTAACACCTCCAAGTACTTAGGGAAGAAGCTCCAATACAACGCATCACCTAATTCTCATGTGTGAAGCCTATGCACAGAGACGCCTTTTGTCTTTGCTGACTGTCAGCGAAGAGATATCACGAACAACATCTATTTTCAGGACTGACACCAGTCAAAAGGATTCATATCAACTAGCAAAATTGATTTCAGCTGTTACATCCATGCTTTTTTGTGTGGATTCTCATACAAGCCTACCACGCATTCTTAAACACCGACTGTTAATAAAAAAATGCACAGGTACATGCACTAAATTTATTTCCCTTTAAAAATCATTATATAGCATTTTCCTATAAAGCAAGTTAAACAAACAAACAAGATTGGTTAAAAACAGACATCTTGCAGATGTCTCAAATACCAAGGAAAGGTGGCTCTCTAGTTCAACTGCTTGGAAGAGTCACACGATTTCAAGCTGCAGAAAGCTTATTAAAAGGGATCTCTGCACAATTTCTGTACGCTGACCTACCAGAGTGTGACGGGTCCCATCCACGCTAGTGCCAGACTTCTGTGTTTTCAGTACATCACCATAATCTGCTGAATCAAAGTTAGTCTTCCACACCATTACCTGCAGAAGAAAGTTCTATGAAAATTTTCCATCTACAATTGCTTAAAGGTCAATTTTATCAACACATCAGAGAAGAGTCAGCAAATACAAAGTTTACCTAATTTGAGCACTGCAAACCTTTCTTAAGGATGTTTCCTGTAAATATGCTACTGAATACAGACATAATATAATCGAGTTCTCAACAGGTAAGTGACCTCTTCCAACGTCCTTTGGGTCAGGAACATCATGAAACTAGAGCTCCCTAGAGAACTTCAAAGCAAAGTGCAGAATATACCATTAAACCCACAAACACATTAAAATACCATGTTTAGCATTATAACACTTTTCAGTCACACCTCACTTACTCACTGGGTTTATCATGGATTTATTCACCTGAAAAGGGGAGTCAGTACTTTAAGCCTAGCATTAGAGATTCTTGAGTTAGGTTGTCCCCTGAATACCAAACTTAAATATCACTTACTTGCATCTTGTCTCCATAATGCAGTTTTATTTCAGAAGAGCGGCCTTTAACACATAAATCACTTCAACATATCAAGAGCAAATCTATGGAGTAAAATCCTTAGCAGCAGCTCTAGAAGCTTAAAAGTGGATGAGTACTCATGAGAAGCATCCCTGCCTGCTTCGCTTGTCCTTAACGCTTGAGTCTCAGAACAAACCAGTGACAGATCAGGAGAGGATCCATCAGCACAGCCTGTGATGTTCAAGGTATCTCAACACAGCAATTTCTACACCTGTCTAACTTTTTCCCCAGGAGCAGATGCCTCAGAAGGGCATATAACAAGAACTCTATTTCCTCTGTTGTACCTAGCCATTCTCAGGTGAAAAGCTTCCTCAGTAAGAAAAGTCTATGTTTAATATCTCTTCTTAGAAAGCAGCAAGATGCCAAGAACACAGTAACAAGGCACAATACTATCAAATTAAACTGGACAGATACCTGTTCATCAGAACCTCCAGAGGCAAATAAGTCTCCAGCTCTTGAAAATGCTACACAGGTAGCTGGTCCCTGTAAATAGATTTAAAAGACAAGTTTAAAATAAAAAACATGAACAAAACCAAAGTGTTACAAAGCTCCATGCATTACAGCTTTCAAGGTACTTCTCATTTGATATCTGCTACCTAAAGGCAAAATTTTAAAAAAGTTATCTGTCAGGTAAGTGGGCCACAACTAACATGCTAATAAGCCTGCTGGTATTTACATACTATTTCCCACACTTTTGCCCCCAGTTTGGACACCCACTTTTTAAAATCCATAGCATTAAGACAGGAACAGGAACAAGTCAAGTTTTGCAGCCTCAGGCTTTTCCTTGTTCCCTCTCAGTCATTCTCTCTTCCCTTTGTACAAACAAAGATTTCTAAAACTCATGTTCATTTATTAAAAGTATTGAAACTGTTGAGTTTTGTTAAATGCAGCCTTTGGCAAGACACCTGACAGAAAGGTTTAAAGAGGAAAAGGAGGTTTAAACACAGATATACACTGAGCAGCATCAAAAGGCATACCGAAAAAGACTGCTAGATGTAAAATACCCCCACTACTGACAATTCGAAGTCATGAATCATAAGTCATGTCCCATAAAACCCATAAGTTTTTTAAAATAAGTCTGGGGAGTGATGAATTCACCTTTAAGGCTTCAATTGCCAGTCCTCAGAATCCACATATTCCAAGCTTCTCCTCACACCATGAATACAAGAGTCATGAAAGGAAAACGCACTAAGCCAAGATTTTCTCATAACTGTGCAACTCCACGGGCGAGAACTTCAAACATGATCCAGAATCTTCAAGACACTGACCTCACGAGAGAGGAAATTTTACAGACCACTGTGTGCACCAGATTCACCATGGGAAATAGCACCTTCTCTCCCCATGCTTTCCCTTCTCTGAAAATACCTACCTCCCATTAAGAGAGACAACATAAAACACATTAACTGCTGATAAAAATAGCCTACAGGTAGGGGTAGAAGCAAGAAATGAAACAGAATCAGTTTTATCTCGAAGGAAAAGAGGAAGGAGTGTGTTAGTTGTTTGTCTGGGCAGTTTTTACAGTTATCACACATTCTCCTATATATTCCTAAGATACTCCATGCAAACTGTTCGCTGCGGAAGACCCAAGGCTTAAAGCTCTTGCTTGTTTCACCACAACAACTTATAAAACATGCTCGACCAGGGAGCAACCAAAGTAATCAATCTGCATCAATTAATGTGGCCAAGGTTAGTAGTATCTTAAGTCAAGAAATCTGTACAAGCAGAATAACTGAACAAATAAGAGTCAGTATTCAGAGCAGAAGCCAATTACTCATTTTATTTCAGATCATATATCTCAGAACGCAAGTAAGATGCTTCTCATCCTGTATCAAGTTGCAAAGACAGACTATTTTATTAAGAGTTCACATCTTGCCAGTGGACACCACAGGGAAATCTCACACTTAGCTTGTTTCTGGTTTCTTTTCCTTCTCTACTTCCTCAAAGCAAGCTCCTTATCTTAAATCCTGAAGGCAGACAAATGCCCAAAGGTTGCATTTGGGATAAGCACCCAACTTGGCACTGCAACTCCAGTCCTGTGCACTTCCAAACACACTAGCACAAGGTTATGCTGACAAAACTAGCATCTTGATGTGGTTGCTTCCAGTGTAAAGAGTTTTAGCTTCCTTAAAACACCTTAAGGTATTTCCACATTATCATTTCACGTGCAGGCATTTCAAAAGGTTTTGAGGCCTTTTATAGCAGCATCTCACTCGAAATTGCTGAAAAATGATCTAGTAGCAGCGATTCCCAAATGCATGCGCAGTCATTAGCATGACTAAGCTTGTTCAACTAACACAGCATTAAATAGTGCAGATATTTCAAACCAAAGACACCATCATCAATCAGCTGAGACGAAGCGTGCTTCTGCCTTCTACTCCCACCCACCTTCCCCAGCAGTTCAGCTCTCGACTACACTGTCAGGAATGGGGACTCTCAAAAAATGCAAAGCAAAAGACAAATAGCCACTAAGAAATGGAAGAAACAAGAACACGGCCAGAGAACCACACAGAGGTGAGTAGTGCTCAACGATAACAGAGTTGAGGATACAGAAGCTGCACACTGGCTATAATAAACCACAGCTGGGAGGACAGAACAAACTTCCAGGACATAAAGACAAAGTGTTCAGGAACAAGCACAAGTGAGGAATACTGGAGAAAAGAAACATTTCACAAAATTACTTTTATCAGTCTAAACATTTCAGTGTATTTAGACAAAATTTAGCACAATACAAATCATACCAAAACAAGCAGTGAAGTGACTCCAAAGTCACGGCATTCTGAGCGGGAGGGGACAGTTCAACAGAACATATTCCTCTCAAAATAGAAAATTTTATCAAAGACTGAATGTGCTTTTACTGAAAGAAGAGGAACAAACAAGTCTATAGACACAACATCCTCTACAGAATTGTTGACATAATTTAAGTGAAAAGAATTTTTACTACATACACTTACAGCACTCTTCCCGGATATAACAGGTTTGCTATAGCAACATAAAAATACTAGTTTGCCAAATACTCTTGCAATTTAATATAAACACACCAAACAAAATCAAAAAGCTACACTTGTCAGTGATTAGACACAGCCTAACTCCCATTTGCTCCAGGTAAGCATGGCAGAGATCCAACAGATTTCTGATGTGGTCTAGACAATAGGTGTGTGGTTGGAGATTGAAGAACTCAAATCTTCCTTCAGATTCCTCCCCGTTCCCCTTTAAACATGTTTTCATTAAAAATGGCAAAAAACCCAAACAAAAAAAAAGCTGCACATTCTTCTAACCAAGTTGTAGGCAGAATTTTAAGCTTATTTCCCACACAACTAGAACACGTAAGATGCAGCAGCTTTCTAAAGGATCACTTTATTCCTCTTTCTGTAGCAAGACACAAGTGCACTTCTATTAGTATTCCCTGGCGATTCAGAAATTCCAGTTCTGCAACCTCACTGTGCTAGGTGCTGCACACAAACTGCTGGCATCAGTTCCCAAATTCCTACAGCTTCTTGCCTTAGGTTAAACATCAAGCTGCAGAAAGAAGGGATTGGACAATGAGATACACCAAGGCAGTGGTAAGGAGCATTTCCATTTAGTCCTCAGCAGCCCAACAACATGAGGACTCTCGAGCTTTTGGGCATGACAAATAGAGTTTGAAATTATAATGACGATTTTGTTGATACTGAGAGAAAGCAGAAAGTTTGAGGGGAAAGCACAGAAGAGAGCAAAACGTCATCCACTGGAAATGTTGAGTGGAAAGAACATTGCCACTAATCAATAACCAACTCATCTCCTTTCGTGAAAGGAGTATCAGGCAGAGTGGGCATAAGCCCCAGGGACAAATTGCTCACGCGCTGGATGTGGCAAAGAAAGTGGAAACAAAAAACAAGGAAGCCATACAGAAGCAATGATAGCAAGATCAAACCTAGCCCTTTGGGGCAGAGTTCCCAGTGAACAGGATATGAGCAAAGTCAGACAGCCATGCAGACTACCCCCCAGAGACAGAGCTGACACCTTCCTACAGAAGGAAGCTGGTGATCACCAGGCCTTCATTGCCCTAGCAACTCACAAGTCGATTCACAAAACATTAAGTGTGGCCTTAGCGAAAAATGTTCAGAACTATGCTAAATGGCTTCAACGCATTCATCGCCTGGAGAGATGGCATCTGGAGGCAGGACACAGATTACAACAGCTGAACGAGTGACTGGCAGGATGCTAATAGCATCAGTAACAGCCGACACAAGGATGACAAGAGACAACAGGAATAGCATCCCTGAACACAAAGCTTTCAAAGGTGGAGCTGAAAATAGATCTCCCCAAAATAAACACTTGAGATAGGCCAAGAGTTTAGTTTGGAGAAACGGAAATATGCCTAAAGCAAACAGTCATACCTGCATGCAGACGGATGAACGTGTACCATCTATAAATAATAAGCTGACAATAAGAGAAAACCCTTTTGAACACCATTTCCTCCCCTATAGAATGGGAGGACAGAAGGCACACCATTTCAAGAACAGCGGGGCCAACGCCAACAGTCAATTCAAGTCAAGAGAAACCAAACTTGAAAGCTGCAGCTAGGAACATTTTGGCTTCAGCATAACAGAAGCAACAAGAGCCAGGCTGGAGAGAGTCCAAAAATAAACCAGAGGAGAACAGTTTAATGGTGCACCGTCTGCACAATGAAAGGAGAAGCAGAGAGGAAGGTAGCTGGAGAGACAAGTGGGGTCAAGGATGTCAAGTTGATCTTTTTTTTTTTTGGCCTCCAAATCCTGGGAAAAAGTAATGCATACCAGAGAGTAAGGGAGGTGGCAAGAACTGGAACAAGGCATATCTAGAGAACGCAAATAGTTGAATTAAAGGGGAGCGTCCTCTTCCGCTGCCCACAAAAGGATATGTAAAAGCGGGACGATATGAGCCAGTACGTTCAGTCAAACTCTTCTGGTATAAATTAAACTTGCTCAAAGTGAAAAAAGAGATATGAGTGGTGACAAGATCTGAAAAGCAAATCCAGTAATAACCAGCACACTGGGATCCCAGGCGTTGGATCATCAGTTCAAATCACAAAAGAAACAATAATAAACAGAACAGTCGTTGCCACTGTTCACAGTGCTTTCAACTGCTTTATGGCCCTGGAGAAGAGGGCAAGTCACACTTGGACAAATGAACATTGAAAGGACAGAGGGTAGAAGAGCAAATGATGCAAAGAGTAAGTGATCAAGACAATTAAAAAAACATCAAGAGCAGGTAAGAAATTTGATAGATGCACTCAAGTCCCAAAGAACATAAAGGGTCTGAGACAAGACAGTGGATGTCGTGTCTTTCACCTATCACTTGGTTTCAGCAGCAGAGAATGCAGTGAAGAATGTTCAGCGAAGACCCTTTCAAATCAACAGACCCTTGGTAAGGCAGGAGCACTGAGCCTGTATCTCAGGATCAAGGATGAACTTGCAGCAGGGAAACCCCCAGCTATGAAGATCTATTTGATCTCATCAGAAAAGGTGAAGGATGGTAACAGCACACTCACCACAAGAAAGCTGAATTCAGAGAAGACAAAGGCAGGAAAAAATACAACAGGCAAGACGGGCAACAAAGTTATTGTACACCTGTTTCAAAATCTGGTACAGGATGCTGCACGTATTCTGCAGAAGAATCAGACAAGAAAATCCAAATCTAAGAGATCAAAGCTACAAACAACACAGATACCCTTAAAGATGATGTAGAGAGGGGAGAAGGTGTCAGAACAGGTATTGGCAAACCAAGAGGTGCAGGGCAGAGGTGAGTACTGTCAAGCAGGGATGGAGTAGAAAGAATCCACATCTCCAATGGTAAGGCCAATAAAAATGTTTAGATAAAAAGGGCAGCCTCCTAGAAGCTGTACAATGAGGGTGATAACAAAGGGGAGAAAGGGAGAGGGAACTGAACCAAAAAGGAAAGCACAGGGGGCAGAGATGGCAATGGCAACAAGCAATGTTTTCATGCCCAATACCTCCGACAAGGAGTCACAAGGATTCAGTCCACTGAGCTTTGAAAAATTCCTCTATTATTACACAAAGCAAGACTGTCACGTCTGCATCTTCCATCGCCAGGGAGTAAGGGCTACAACTAACACAGGAAAAATTTATACTGACACCATATAATTGAATGTTCAATAGCTTTTTAACCCCTGAAAGCTTCAGTTTAAAACAAAAAAAAAAACAAGGGAAGACTAGAACGATCCTATTTCCTTTTAATACTCAGAAAGGCTAATATAAAGTCAGTTGCCTGTTGTATGCAACACATTCTTCTCTCCCTTTGTTGGGTCTAGTTCTGTGCAGCCCCAAGATGTCCTCGGGATGTTTAATGCCACCTAGGTAGAGCTGGCAGCAGCCAGTAAAGGAGCACGTTTGTTTCCTGTGCACCTGTTCAGAAGATCTTCCTCTTTAGTCAGTCAGCAAAGCAGAGAGCACTTCTGCCACCCAGGCAGGTAGAATGCAGCTACTTCATGGTTCAAAGTCAAGGCTGCTTAGAGAACCGTAACTTTGCATTTTCTGTCTTCCTATTTATAAACATAACCATGCAGATGTTTTCTAAATATTTACTGAGAACTTCCATTCCACTAAGGCAGTCAGCCTGGAAACGCTCTACTCAAACCACCCAAAAGGGCAGACAAGCACTGTGTACATACCTGCTCTCCTCTAGTAACTCTCCAGAGGTGATTTATGGGTCCCAAAACATTTTGTTCCTCAATGATGATTCAGTACCAGAGGTGGACCAACATCCCAACCCAGTGTCTCATCTGTACGGAATTAGGCAAGAGTACTTCACAGCTCGAAGCGCTCCAGAACTAAAATATGCAGCACAATACAGAATGGTATTTCGCAGCTGCAAGATGTCAGCGCCAAGCTGCAAACTCCTGTCTCTAGCAATCCTTCTGCTACAAGGAGGCCAGCTACACTGCAATTAAAGACAGCAATGTAAACTTGGCAAGCCTCTCTATGTAAACTACAGCTAATCAGCTGCTAACAAATTCCTGGCACTCTATCAGTTGCGTCAAAGTACGTCTAAAGGACCTTAAGGTTTTTTTTTTCCTTTCAAGTGTCCATTTGCAAGCAGCCTTCCCAGAACAACGTAACAGCAGTCAGCTGTCAGAGCAGGAACAAAGTCTCAACAAGCACATTCACCCCCCACAAAGTCACAACTCAGGAATGTCTTCAGAACAGGCTGCTCATTTGGTGACTAACCTATACCCGCCACTTGAAAAAGCAAATCTACTTAATGATCAAAAAATCCACACCCACTTCATTTTTAGCCTCGTGGACATACTGGCAGAAATCGGTGAGAACAGGAAAAAGAACAAACCAAAAATCAATTCAGTATTAAGTAGCCCTGGTTTATCTATGAGCAGAGCAAGCTAAAGCAGCAGCCAGGGCAGGAACCCACCCCAGCAGCTCGTGATGAAAGCAGGACCTGTTGTCACTGCCAGCTGCTGCTTCGTTACCGTGAATGAAGCACAGGTTACTATACACTTGCAGTGGAAAAAGTAAGGTATCTGTTAAACCAGGCATCAAAAGAACCAGCCCACAATAGTACAGCACATGTCTGCAGAGGGAACACCAGCCAGGGCTATGCCAGGACTGGTTCCATGGCCATCACGGTGCAACACCTTTAGAGACAACCGGAAAGCACCACCAGCCACTTTTATACTTCTTATTTCCAAACTGAAGAAGAAGTAATCCCACAATGGCAACTACCCTTCAGCTATGCCAGTATCGAAGTATTTCCAACACGAGTT